TGTGTGTGGCTTTAACAGACAAGTTTTTTTGCGTCCTCTACAGGGTGACAACTGACGACCTCCCTCCCCAGGTATGTTATCCCCTCGCTGTTCCTCGTTGCGCAGACTTACTGCTGGTATCATCTTTATGATGATAACACCCACCTCCGTCATTGTCTGGGTCGTCCCGCGCCGCAAGAGGCGTTCTTTTGGTTATAATTGACAACAAAAAATAGCAATAATAGCAATGAAATCCTTGCGCAAAACATATGGCTTCACTGAAACCCAATCATGCAGCAGCCAATTCAGCACATGTGCAGACCCCCCACCCCCACCCACACGGCTGGGTAGCGTCATGGTTCTCACGTCTAACCACGAGCGCTGCCGAGGAACCATGCGCTGCGCGTATGCGTACGCGTAACCATGCGTAACCCGTAAGCGTACGCGTGTTTAGCGCTCCCGTATGCGATGTGCTCCCGTGTGTAGCGTGTTCTTGTGTAAAGAGTGATCCCGTGTGTAGCGTGCTCTCGTGTGCAGTGTGCTCTCGGTCTAGCGTGCTTTCTTGCACGGTGTGATTTCGTTTCCAGTGTGCTCTCGTGTGCAGTGCGATCTAGTGTTTAACGTGCTCCCGTGGGTAGTGGGCTCTCGTGTGTAGCGTGCTCTTATGTGGTGCTTAAATTGAGATCGTTCGTGATGCCCACCGAACTCTGCAAAGGCCAGGCATGGTCAGCTAGTTCTGCTGCGGCTCTCAAAACATTTATTTCTACTTTGGGAAATGCTTTTTAAAACCCCATAACATTCCCCATGTGCGCGTGCATAACCGCTCATGAGCCAAACACAACGGCCAGTGCACCCCTGCAATCCTTGGGGTGCTATATGTCCATGGGACGGGGACCTGGAAAAAGCGCGCCTACCGCTCTTTTGCCAAAACATCGCTACCCGCACCATTGAGCCAGCCCACGTGTGATTGGGTTACTGAAGCTTTCAGGTCACGCAGTCAAGTCAATAGGCAGACTCTGTTACGTGCCAGTCGAGCAGCATGCGTGCTGCAAGTTATGTTGCAATGTGCCCCAGGGCCCATCTGGGAATCTTGCTTGCTTTTATGTTAACTTTTCTCCGTAACTTTGTGCGGTGCTTCATCTTGGACTTCATACACCAGTGAAAATGTTTCAATTAATGCTTGTTTGCGAGCCATAAACAACCGCACGGCCGGTTTGAACAGACGCAAACTTGGCCAGTAACGGCGGCACGCCGCACAAACTTTGAACGCCGTGGGTAGGACGGAGTCGCGTATGGAGAGCTGACCGGGGTGGATCTGCAGACAGAGGACCTACTGGCCAAGCTGGCCCTGACGCGGCGCGGTGAACATGGATACCACTTCGCGAGCAGGAGGCGACCTCACCGTGGAGATGCGGTAAGAGTCCAGCAAATGTGCCGAGAGATTCTTGACGGGGTGGTGACGGACGGGTGGGTGAGCTGGCCTTGCAAGCCCGGTGGTAACAAGTTCAATTGCCGGAGGATTCCTAACAGATTAATGCTGACAGCTGAAAAGTTAGCTGGTCAGTGGAAGCGGCCGAGATCAAGCACCATAGTAGCATGAAATAACCGACTCTGGGGCTGTGGTAGCGGATCCCATACAATGAGGGAGCACGAGTAGAATGTGTCACCCTCGTATGCATGCAAGTCTAAATACCATGGGCTTCGTGAAGTTTGCTCGCATAGGGGGAGGGCAACCATCCAACTGCCTTCCCCTAATCCGACAGAACAGCCTTTAATATCGGCAAAATAGGACGAATTTAGCGCGCCAGGAAGCCTTAAGATAAGGTAGGGGCCTTACATGATAACCCCGATGGCAATTTTGATCACGCCGCGGAACCATATCATGTACCGTAGCCGCTAGCAAATCACGATCATCTGACTGACAAGCCCAGCTCATTTTCCTCCTGGACAACCCAAAACGGCCGTGGCTTTACCAACCCTGCGCAATCCAAACAGCGCCTATCCCGCGCTGCCAGCAGGTGCGTCCCGCATAAGCACGCACCGTCCTTGTTACTCTGCACCCGCACGCCCACTGATTCGGTTAAGCATCGACGACGTTGCTCGCCATTGGACCGTAGGGTTTGACTGTCGCTGTGTTACTGAGCTCGACCCATTCGCCTTCCAGTGCTCAGACATGTAGCACACGGCGCCGTTCATGATCATGCATTCTGGACGGCCGCCATATGCTCTACCGGCCGGGAGAAACAGGCCACTATATCACGCGGTGAACGAGGAGACGTCGGGTTTTCATCTCCCTCTCGTGTCGCAGGCGCGCTGTATAGCGTGACCTTACGGCGCCTGCTGGCGGCAGGACGGTCACGGACAGCACCAGACGCCGGACACCAGCCGCGCTGTGGAGGTGTCGCGGTCCAGAGCCGTCTGGTGTCGGCACCTGGCGCCCCCCCCCCCCCCCCTCCCGCTCCCCGCCCAGCGATCCGTCGAAGTCGGAGAGAGAGAGAGAGAAGAGAGGAAGAGAGAGAGAGAGAAGAGAGAGAGAGAGAGAGAGAAGAGAAGCTCACACGTGACACCCGGGGCGGCCCTGGCCGGCCGGTGGAGCTGCAGGTTGTCGGTGAACGGCTACGACACGGAGCTTACGGGCAGCGCTCGGCCCGTGTAGTGGGCGCTAGACGATACCTCGCGCTCCGCGCCTGTCTCTGCCCGTTGAGTAAAAAAATATCGTAATCCAGCGACGTCTTCTGACAACTGCAGCCCGAGATGAGGCAGATCGTTTACCAGTTGCCGACTTTTTACCACCACGTTTCCCACGAAGCGTTATTTTGAATTCGTCACCGTCCACCCACTCGCGTACGCGCCACATGTCACGTCGCATGCCGCCATCCGCTCCACGGCATGGATCTAACCTCGAAGGCCGTCACATGTGTAGGCATCGTCCCATGCACGCTGGCATCCGACAGCGAGGGGCGTGGATCCGAACACGACGGCCCCACGGCCTGCCCTTTCCAGGCATTCGGTGCGCCAGCTGGGGACGTTCTACTGCCATGCTATCGGACCTCGTGGCGCGTGATGTGGTCTACAGCACTCCGTCGCAACAGACTCACACACTCGGCCCGCGGCACACGCACGTGCGGTGTAGCAACGTTGTTAAAAACACATCGTTTAAGAATATGCTACGCGCACACATGCACGCACGCACGCCCACACATACAAACGTACACGTGCACGGACATGCGCGCGCACTCTCGCACGCACATCGCGCGTATGGGGGATGTCTAGAAACGTGAGTGTTTGGGCCACTGAGGGGACAATCGTTCAACGAAAGTGCGCTGAAATAATGCTTACTTTGGAGGATGTCGGTGTGGGCGTTGCCACATCTGTCACACGGCATCCTCCATCCATGCATACCCACAGCAATACAATCAAGAACAGCCTCGCCGCTCGCATCATGGACAACGTATATGGGACTCTCGGCCTTGCAGTGCAAGCGGTCGGATCCTGACTAGACGATTCACGTTCAACGGGCACGCCTCCGGGGTGAGCCCGGAACAGGGGCTGCATCTCGCGCCCCGAAGCCAACCAATAAAGCATCACAATGTCGCGACAGCGTGCCACGGAGGTAACGAGCATCCCAGGTGAATCTGCTCAAGATTGCTCATTGTTTCAAACACCGCTGTTGCGACAACCGTGCGTGACGTTCGTAAAACATTTTATTCCCAGCCTAACCGATGCATTCCGTAACTTTCCATCCCTAGTTGCGCTTTCTTTGCAGAGAAACATGTCGACGCTTCGCACGCGCGTGACGTGTGCCGACGCGGGGGAGCACGGACAACATGGCGGACGGGGCACATGATGACAACAAACCCAATTTAAACTCTCATCATTTTCGATTTTATCGGATGGAGGCCGCCTTACGCTGCCACCAAGGAGGCCAACACCATTTACGAAACACCATTGGCCCTAGCACTGGCCTCACCCGTGGGAACAGACCACTGAATTACTTATGGATACATGGGGCCCCCGATGACGAACATCGGGCCCTCGAGCCGCACTGCCCCGCAGGCTGGTGCAAAACACGCGGCATCCGACGCACATATCGCACCGCTTCATCTACGCCCAGACGCGCGCTGGGGAAGTCAACAATAGCAATGGGGTTCGCGGAATGAAGCCCAGAAAATGAGTCGTTGGGCTTCCTGGGGCCGTTGGGACTTCGCCACTGACACAATGGAACGGAATGGCCTGCTGCAAAAGTCAACTAGCTATGATATATATTTGCAAAATGCTTTCACGAAACCTGTGGCAATGTGTAGCGGATTTCTATACTACAATCACACACAGGTGGCCACAATATAAACGCATTTAGGCATTGCAAACAAACCAATGACAAAATTTACATTGTGTCACTGCGCTGTAACAAGGTGGCATGCTTCGACGTCGGCCATTACAATCCACACTTCCCCAAACCGTCCGTATTTCATCCACCGTCCATCATGATGAACGATGCATCTGCTGAATAATAGTTCTCCAACGTGCGCATCCATCACTAAACGGCATCTGCCAGCTCCACGATGGCCCAGAATGTGACGGATCGACGCCGGCAAGCATCAACACACACGCCGTGTTGACGCCGGCGACCGGGCCCACTCTGCGCGACTAGCGAGTGTGTTGGCCACCAACAGCCGGCGCGCGTCCGGTGGCCACGGCCAGTCCTGACCCGGACTGCGGTTGGTCGAAGACAGCGACCGTTCCGGTGGGGCTGTGTTCACTGGGCGGCCATCGGCGCTCCGTTCACATCGCTGGGCGCTGGGCGCTGGGCGACAGCTCGCAAGCGGAGCTCTCAGACAGCGGCTTCCGGCGCCGCGAACGCTCCACAAACACCTAGGCTGTCCACCTCCTGGAGCCGGCGCTGACGGCGTGACCCGGGGTCAGGGTCAAGTGCCAGGTCAGCGGGCGACCAGCCGGAGAGCCGGAGGATGAGCAGCGTCAGCAGCAGCGGCGTGACCCGGGGTCAGAGGTCAGGTGCCAGGTCACCGGGTGACCAGTCGGAGGATGAGCAGCGTCAGCAGCAGCGCGTCTGGCCGCAGTCGGTCCCCGGCATGCGGTCTGCATCGCGGCCGGGTGCTCATCTGACGGTGACGAAACAACAGCGTCATTGGACGGCGGCCCCGTCATTTCACACGCACTGCGCCCCTGCTGGCCCGCTGCCGGCAACCCGCTGGGGTGCTCGGCCACCGGCGGCCTATCAGCCCGGCCTGACTGGACAGGACATCAGTCGCCGTCGCTCGAGGCCTCACATGGATAGCAGTACCCTAGCTGCGGAGTACAGACATCGAAAGGTATGATTCATCACATCATTTCCGAGTGGTATGGCATAGAAGCAGAGCGTGACGCGGAGACGGAACCTTCCCTTCCACAGACCGGGTTCGGCAGCGCCTGAGACGGTCAGCGAGCGGCATCCGAGTTCGCCACATCCCAGGGCACTACCGTTGTTGGCCGAGAACGTCATGGATATTTTTGCCGCAAGCGCATGGCCAGACAGCGTCCCTCGGCTCCCCCGACCTTGATCAGGATCAATACTATGGCAGATCGAACCGACAGCGTCCCTTTTTCGACCTCAACACCGCATCAGTCTTTGTTGAATGAGCATCTGCGGGGGCGTGGTACATGACCAGGTGTCTCGGGGCTGAGGGCTGGCTTCCAAATGGAACTGGATGTTCATGCAGCACTGGCCACGATCACACCGCCGCGGCCGGCAGCCGTACCTCGCGTGGATCATGAGTCAAATGATTCTCTGCGGCTGAGGGTGCAGGGCGAAAATCGCCCGTTTAAATCTAGGAACGTGTTTGAATAAAGGTGTTGAGAGTGCGCGCAACAAGCTCAGCTGAGTTTAAAAGATCGAATACTGGTCACATAAATGTTCAAAGGTTGTTTGGAAGGAACGCAACACAACGATCAATAACTACAGCTTCACACAAGCAATTACTGCGGTTCCTTAATTCATCTGCATGTTACGGCAATGAATGGCTATGGCATGGCTATTTCAGATGCATTGCAATGTCACGCACAAAAGTGGCCTTGGTAACTCGCAGACAATTGGTGCACAGAAGGCATTACAAGTGCCTCGCAGCCAGCACACAGCGGACGAACCTCCACGGACGCTTCGCAGCATCAAGGCTGGCTGGTTCATAACATGGGCTGACTCAAAGCCATGGGTGTAACAACTGGGAGGGCATGCCCTCCTCAGTTTTCCCGAAATTGTACTTTACCCCCTGCAGTTTCCCTGTAAAATATTTTAAAACATTTTACATTCAAAACGCCGCTTTCAAGTCACGGTCGTTCACCGAAACTCCAATTTGTTCCCTCCAGCCCTGATTTGTTCTCCGACCTGAGAAACATGATAACGCCATTGCTCATCAGTTCATCACGGAAGAGTTGACTGGCGTTGCAAAGCTGGATCAAATGTTGGCATCATCCATAATCGTGACACGCCCACAATTGCGTTTCACGTAGCAGTTCACCAGCGTGAGTTTCTCGCGGAACAAGCATGACACATGTCACTGAAACGTCCCTGTAACCGTTAGACAGGCGCGAGCCCCATTCGGTGAACTGCAATGACGTCATCACCGCTGAAGGGGTGCGCCTGTCACGTCACAAGCAGCAGCACCCGCAGCTAACGGGCGTGTATCGGCAATCATGGCGCAACCGCACGCTGCCGTGATTGCTGCGAGTTCCAAAATGGGTAGTTATAAATAGAAGTTTATGGATGCGCATAAATCTTGAGCTTTTGACGAGCATATAATTAAAATCACCGTAGCAATCCAATTCCAACTAACGTCCAATTGAAATCGTATAACTTATGCTCAACTGGTAAAGTTTATTACAATCCTCTTCATCCTTACTTTCTTTACAATCCCTTTAATCCCTTTCAAATAATTTGCATGATTAATTCCGAACAACCACAGGTGTAATTACCTCTGGAATCGGTAGGGTCCGGACGCAGTAGCCTTTGGACATGTTGGAATGCTTTCGCATTTGGCCGTATAAAATGGCACCAAAACCGAAATGGATCGCCGTAGCATTTAAGGCGCGGTGACTTTCATCCTGACGACCGCCCCCTGACGCAGCTCAATGTTTTGTTTTTATTCATTGTTATGTCCATGCTTTACTGATATACTATCGCGCAGTGCTGGATGCACAGCTCCGCAGTGCTGATATAAATTGTGGCGCAGCACGTCTTAGGACAGCTTTGCAAGCCGTAGCATTATTACGCCGTAGCATTATTACGCTTTAGCATAATTAACGACCACGCATGGCATGCACGGGTGTAATGCGTCGTCATGTGCGGGTGTCATGTCGTGCCGGTATGACCTATCGTGACATTAATATCGCTTGAAGACGTCAACAGTGTTGCAATAAACCCGAGAAATGTGTCACACCACTCGTTCAGTGATATCCTGAGCCTAGGCCTGAATACGGAACACCTGTCAAAGATTTGAAAAACAAAATTGCCGACTCCACGGAAGCACTGAGCATACGTTCCTAGAATTTCATTTTTAAATCGACATTTCCTTGTTCCGTGTTCAAGATCTTAGCTTCACTCGAGCTGTAGGGACCTACAACATAAATGACCCAGTTGGAGCCGGCTACATCCTGGCGGCATCAGTACGGTGTATACCCACAACGTTATCATGCCCTTTAAAACATGTCCCGAGGCAGGCTGTCACGGGAGCGGCCCATCTGTGGTCGGCGTATTCTATTGTCCTTGAACTTATGTGAGACGAACGTCTTTCTTCTTATATGATAAGGAGCCGTGCTGACGCATATACATGAGGTGCTTGAAAGTCAGGCTCTATGGGCTATGTGACCATTCACTTTGGGGGAATCGCCACGGCTGTGCTCGAGTGTGTTAAACACACCTTCTGTTCTCGCGTCGAGTGCAACAGACTATCTCAACATGGAAAGTTTGCTAGCGGCATGTTTGTCGAGCGCGTCTGTGAGCAACAAGACAAAGCCTAGATATTAGGCATTCCAGCCCGAGCTTAAGACTATGGGCCGTTATGCTATCGCATTGTGCCAGCGCTGATCCTCAGAGAATTCCAGTCCTGACCTTTGAAGGCCTCCCGCGTCGTCCCTGACATTTCCCATTCCCAACTCATATTGGTCATCACAGGTCATGCCCCGTGGGTGTCTGCCTACTGGCAGTCTAACATGGATCGCCAATATAGCTAGTCGGATGTCCAACAGCTGCCAGGTGTGTTCCTGCCTCTGGCTCGGAACGACTGTAGCCCGCCCCGCGGGAGCACCACACCCGAACTTCGCGCCGCCGCGCCGGCCGGACACGCCGGACTGACCCGTCCCATCGACCCGTTGGCGTATCGCACGCGCCGGTGGCCTCCGATCGCCCGGGGCGCGCTCGACGACACGTCGGCGGAACGTGTTTCCCAGGCTGCGCACTTAGATTGAACTAATTTCCATGGGATCCGGGGTCATTCCGCGCGGGGACGGTGCGCCGACCGGGGTCACCCAGCGAGGCCCCGTGTCACTCAGCTGACTGCTACACGACAGCTGACCGCTGGCTGCTGCCCACTGCTACATGCTGGTATGGAACTGTGGCAGATAATGTGGACTTTCGCTCTCAGAGCTAGCACTTGTCTGTTTGGCACAGACCTGTGCTGAGTCAGTCCACCCTTGGGTTGACGGGTTGCGCCTCTGTGTTTGCAGGCCTTTTCCAAGCGTGATGGTCGGAGCTCCTTTTATGTCGGATGTATCAAAGTATGCTTACCAGCTCCAACTGCACATAGTGAACGCATAACACATTTCAAATTTTCGTTCTATCAACAACGTATTGCCTGTATGCCTGGCAACAAGCATGCCTGCATTTAATCCCTTCTGTTCGCAACCTTTCCTGTTGCCGGATATTCATCATGGCCGCACTAATTTTGTCCCTCGAATCGGGCCGGATGCAGTGCCAGCAATTCTCGGAAAAGGCAGGTCCCAGGCAGGTCAAGGTCGAATTCAGTACGTAATCTTGCAGGAAGCTTGCGTGTAAAAACAGAGATACCATTTCTAGCAACCCAAGCGTAGAGGCAGAATGTGTCTGCTTGCCAACATTTTGTCCGGAAAAGGTGCTCACCCAACTGCTCGCCTTAGCTTTGAGCAGTCCCGTCAGTGACCTTAACCCTGCGCCGTCCCGTTCTTGACCTTAACCCTGCGCCGTTCCGCTCCTGACCTTAACCCTGCGCCGTCCCGTTCCTCGCCTTAGCTCTGCGCCGTCCAGCTGTTGACCTTAACCCTGCGCCGTCCCGCTCTTTGCCCTAGCCCTGCGCCGTCCCGCTGCTGACATTAACCCTGCGCCGTTCCGCTCTTTGCCCTAACCCTACGCAGTCCTGCTCCTCACCTTAACCCCTGCGCCGTCCCGCTGCTGACCTTAACCCCTGCGCCGTCACGTTCCTCGCCTTAGCTCTGCGCCGTCCCGCTGCTGACCTTAACCGTGCGACGCTCTGCTCCTTGCCTTAGCCCTGCGTCGTCTCGCTCCTGACCTTAACCCTGCGCCCTCCCGCTCTTTGCCTTGGCCCTGCGCCGTCACCCTTCTCTCTCCCCAGACTGTGGACTGCGGAGAGAATTGACGCGTCAATTGACGAATCGCCGTGCGCTTCTGGATCCAGGGACCGATTGCTTAGTCACAATTCTGCAGCTATTCACAAGGCACCACGTGTCTGAAACTATCGTCTGTCTCCAGCTCGCCTCTAGCAAGGAAAGACTGTTAAGTAACTTGGCTAGAAAAAGCATCGATCTTGTCACTTTCCGTAACCCATGCGAGTCATGTCTCCATCGGCTTGCCATGCATTACGCAGCATTTAGTTGATTAAAAAATTCTCCAAACCCGCGGCGATTTTGGAGCTCATCGCGCGTGCCGCGAGGAACAGCTCCAGTTTTTCTCTCAGGCGGTCAGCGTACAGTGCTTAAACGCGTCTTAGTTCTGCACGCATTTGCCAATTTGCAATACTGCGTGTTGTTGTTCTTGCATATGGTCCTGCCAATTCGGGGAGTTTATACACGCGCGATACCGCTCCGCTGAGGCACGGCTGAAAGAAAATTAGGTATTGTGTCCGATGATTGTATGCTTTTGGAAGCCTCACATCCCCCCTTGATTGCTCACGCCGGATAGAAGCCCCGGACCCCAAAACTCGTTTAAAGCACCGAGACGGCAGTGTACGGATTCACCATTTCGCCAGATTAGCTAATCTGGAGCCCAATCTCTCGTCGCAGTCCACGTCAGAGCGCCGTTCTTTACACGCCAGCGCCGCCCACTAGGGTTATGACCTGTATCAACGCAGTAGTGAAGTAAATACGTGAAAGTTTACTATGAAGGACGCGGGTCAATACCCAAGTGTGGGCTTTAAGTAGAATGACTTGATTGAGACCATGGATACGTACAGCGCAGCAATGGCATGTTTGGATATGAGCACACTGCGCAGTTATTGGCCGTTATGCCATCAGATACACATCATCAATCATGCCCTCCGCCTCCTATCGATATTTTTGTCCATTTGTCCAACGTACACGACCGTCAGGACGCGTTGGCCGTTGCTTGGCACTGTCCTATAGACAACCACGACTTGCTGCACTTACTTCGCCTGTCTTCCAAGTTAGAAATCGACTTTCGCATGGCCGTCGCAGGTAAGCCAGGTACGTACCTTACCCGAAAACATGACCGTGCTCCCAATTTCGGATGACACACGGACCGAGCACGGGAACACCCGCTGGTTCCGACACACTCGCAGCTCTACCCACCACCATCACCCACCAAAACAGTTCTCCGGAGCCTCCGACCTTCCCATCCTCTTCCTCCCTCTGCGACATCATATATGACACCCTCGCATCCCTCCCTGGCGTACCCCCAGAACCGCGCATGTAATCGCGTACCCTCCAGCGCAGACGGCGAGGGGAGCGTGCCACACAGGCCCCTGGGAAGAGCGCCACCGCCAGGGCGTCGCCCCACGCCAGCGGGCACCGCCGGACGTACCATCGATGACGTGAACCCGGACGGCGGGCCGAGCGGCCCTCGCTCGGGCGGCACGTGTAGTTGCCCGAGTCGCGCTGGCGGGCGCGCGAGATCACCAGGAAGCTGCTGCTGCCCTGGTTGGTGGCGCTCGGTCTGGATGCTGATGCCGGCGCGCGGCGAGCCGAGGTCGATCGGCGCCGCGTCCCGCAGCCAGGTGAGCGTGATCGGCGGATCGGCCAGCACGCGCAGCTCGCAGCTCAGGTTGATGTTGCTGTCCAGCTGGACGTAGAGGTCGGTGGGGCCGGCCACCTTGGCGTGCGGGGCTGCGGAAGGCCGAGCGAACGGTTGGATTGTCGGCGAAAATGCATGAAGATGCACATAGAAACGGCGGTGTGAAGAACCATGCATCTTAAGTGCCGACATATCCTCTCCTAGCCATCCTACCCTTAGTATCCGGAAGTACCTTAGAAAGGCTTGCTGTATCGAACCAGTTCAAAGCCAACCAATGAGCCTATGAGATCATATACGGTTAAGCACTGGGGACGTGGGACAAGTCAATACAAACGTGAGTTCGACACAGTTCAGAAAAAAAACAAGGCATGTTACTGAGCATGGAATCGGCTCAATTCATAGGAAGTTTAGCGAAGCCGTGCCGGATTTAGGGGCATAGCCAGTCGGGCAGAGAAATACAATTTCCGACGTCGCCACCGTGAATGCCGGAGTCGGCAAAATAGTGAACTACCTCACGCTCATTACCACATCTTAAAAGCAGACCCCATTTGATCGAAAGGCACGGAGTGCGCTTAATTTCAAGGAACTAGCAGACGGTAACCCAATAACCATCAGCCGGCCGTTTTTCCCGAGCGCTGCACTTTTCCACCGCAGCCCGCGAGCGACGTCAAATCGTCCGGCGGCGGAGAGGCGGCGCTGGCGTGGGGCGGGCGGCGGCGGTCGGCCCCGGCGAGTCAGCGGGCGGAGCCGTGTTGTCTCCCGGCGCGCCTCAGCCGCTGCATCACCTCCGAGACGATCGGGACGACGGCCCGGTGGGAAATAAGACGGCCGGTCCGCGCTGGCCCGCTCATCAGTGCGCCCGTAAACCAAGCAATCCCATAAACAAAGTTCGCCGGCACGGCTTGCTCTACCGCTTGTACGGACTGGCGGATGGAGTCGCCGCAGCCGGCGGCCAACTTGGCCCGGCCGGTCGGCCGCCGCCGCCAGGCCGACGACCCCTGACCTTACCCGCCGCTCCGGCCGAAATGAACCGGCCAAGATGGGCGCAGATCGCAGCGCGCCGATCATGTCAAGCGCTTACAAAGTTTGGCATCGTACGAGTTTACAGGTTCTGTAGTCGGTCCGATTGCGACGAGCGTAGCAGAAGTTTTCATTTGGTTACTCATGTCGCTGCTGTCCGCGTCATTATTTTTGTTGCAGTTATTGTTATCGACACAGAAACGCACGTAATACATGGCTGGTGTATGAGCTGGCTGGTTAGATTCAGAAGGTGTTAGGTTTAAACATTGTTAGGAACTGACAGCCATTACGCCAACAGTGACCTTTTTCCTCACGGAATGCACCAATTGTTCACCAACTGCTCTGTGCCAGCGATAATTAACCTTCTCTTACGAAATGGAATATCGCTAGTTGGTCTCGCACATATGCTGAGCGCCCGGAGCGTTTATCCCCCAATTATTCGAAATTTTAAAAAGGGCGTCATAGAAGGGCTTCGGACGATTTGATACCGGAAACATAAAATAAGAATGCGTCCATACAAGCTGTATTCTTATTTTATCTTTCCTTGAAACGGCGTGGCATTCCAATTTCAAAGACACATTTTTGATAGGCACCAAACAACATCATTAACTGAAATGTTGGCACCATTGACCTTCGTCTTCGGTCGAAACGCTAAAGACTAAAATACCGACACAAAGAAAGTACCACCAGCGCATGATGGCCTCCCATCAGACCCATACCAAGGCCAAAACTTTGCAGAATTATTGAACTCTGAGAAAGCTCCCGGCAAAAAGAGAAGATAAATCACGAGGCATGCCGCAACTTCCTACATGTGCCGCCCCATGTTTCGGTTGGAACGATTTTTCTGCTGGTCCGGCATTCGTCTGCAGGGACCTTAAATGCTTTGCTTGCACAATAGGCAGCCAAAAGTGTTATCAGGCACCATTTCACTGACTGCTCCGGTCATTTGTCAGCTGTTCACGAAGATCATTAGTTAACCGTGGTGGTCGCATCGCAGTGGTATTCTCTATTTTGTCTTCACGCTGCCAAATTATTTTGTGCTTGTGCACCATACCGATAGGCTGTTCCCGACATACTACAGCGGTACCAAATTAGCTACTCCACGCAGCGATTGCCGGTCGATGAGCTAACAATTCCGATACTGGACTGATGTCTGAGGATAGCCGCTTACAGACCGCTACGACCATTATGTAGATCCCTGCTCCGGCGGGACCGATCGCGGTACATGTGATGACGGCCGACCTTTGCTTCTCGTTACCAGACGGCGACTGGTAGAGAGCCTGGTCGGAGTTAGCCGACCTGCTACTATGACGAAGCTGACATTCACGGCTCATCTGTGTTCGCCCTGCAAGTGTCCTCTGACGAGTGGCTTGAATGCGCAGCGGGCATCGGACTCGGGCCTGGCCACGAGGTCAGAGGGCTTTGTGACTGCACTCAGAAGGTCCCATTTTTAGTTGGCGGGGATTAATTGATGCAGGAGCATGACGCACAGCCCTGCGGTTGAGTGATGATGAATACGCAGAAACGTCTCTGGGTTCATGGTATACTGAGTGGTCAGGTTCAAATTTAGCCACTCAATGTAGTATTACGGCGTTTAATATTATCGGGAAGCTGTTTGACGTGTGCTCGCGAAGGTGTGAGATACTACGACTTAGCGACTACGAGTTAGTGGTGTTTGTTTTTTTTCTAACCCAGCAGGCCCATACAATATTCGTCTTAGCAGTGTTTTGCTAAGGTCATAGTTCGCAAAAGACATTCGGTTGTCGGAATGGCATGCCCTTTTCCTGTAAATTATGGCGAGAAGACGGCAGTCGCTCAAGCTTCATCAATAGACACCCATTAGTCACTTGAATACGCAAGAATGCAGGGACAAAGTACCGGGGACCAGTTTCTCACAACAAAGCTAAAACTTGTCATGTCGACAAGTAAATGTTCCAGTTTGGTGGACCTTTCAGATGTCGCGAAAACTAACACACAACTTTCACAAGCATCCTTCGGAAAACTCACCGCCAGCTTGCGGCAGGCCCAAGACAATGAACCCATGGGAGCTGCAACAACGACGGTCGGTCACGTCTGGTGAATAGCACAAGCCGTCTCGACAACACAGGTGCCGTCTCAACGGCAGGCTGCTGTGCTCGTGACACCATCTCGTTTCGAGACGAGCGGAGGGAGGCGTGGGGCGCAGGGTCTGCACGACGTATCATATCATACATGCTGAGAACGCTTACATGCAGCAGAAAGTGACGCTCACATCGCTGAGAACATAAGACAATGGTCGAAACGCACAGCAGTGTAAACTCTGTAACAGCGTGTGCTGCAGTGCCGCAAGTGCCTCAGCCGTACACGCGCGCGGTGATGGCGGAGAGGACCGCACTCCTCAAAGTTAGTCTCTTTGAGTTGGTCCGCTTCGCTGAGTCCGATCCTGTCGTCCGGATGGGGCGGGGACGGGATGGCACGGGATGGCTCGGGACGGGAGGCGATGGGGCAGCATCATACACCGTTCTGCTTCGGTCTTGACTCCGTCCGTCCTAACCGTCCCATCGCTCCGGCACAAGACAATAGTTTTGTCCCATCCGAGTCTTCCATCCCACCCGATCCCGGGCGGGATGCGTCTGGGATCGAAACGTCCTCTTCCGGCCCTGCCTAGCATCGCCCTGCACTGACGTGCTCCAAAATTACTGTAGCACGCACACTGCTGCAGCTCTTTCAATAATGCAGAATTAGGTGAAACAGACACATTTTTTGTACAAAGCTTAATGTTTGCACACTGTAAATTATACCCTGTTAATCTGCTTGGAAGTGGTCATTCCAATCCGTCTCGCAGTTCAACGAATTTCATGCTTCAGATTTCACACTCTTTCATTTAAACCTTTTAGTATATTTGCACTCCACACTTTACAGGTGGTCTAACACTCGGCAGTTAACCGAACGTCAACACTTCTAAGACAGCTTTGTAACCGTTTGATTTGTGTAGTACAGCTCTGTTGAACCTCACATCGGATCATGCGGTTTTAAGGCCCAGAAACCGTGCACGACGAACTACTTAAAAAGTGATGGAGCAGTTGTTCGGACTGACGTCATCTGCTGGTGGGTTAGTATGTACGCAACGTTTTAACTAATTAACTGTCCGACCGTCTTTAGGTATTACTGAGCCCTGAGAAGGACTGGATGACGTTTGGCTCTCATCCATGTACGCATCACAACCCGGATTATCTCCTTGAAATTGCTGGGGTTCGAACTAGACTCTCGTGATGACAAGCCCACTTCTCTACCAACCCAGCTTATCAAGATCGACGCGATCAGAAGGCCCTGGCACGAATACCAGCAATTCCAAGAAGGAAATACTGGCCGCAATTGGATATGGCTGAAAGCGAAGCACCATCCACTCCGTCTGAGGACTCCCGTAACACCTGACTACAGTCGGGTAGTTAGATGCCGGAAACGACGTGTACATGCTTACACTAGCCGATGACGAGAGACAAATAATTATTACATCAGTGTTGTCGATGCCGCGTCTCAATACTGACGTAGGACTATCATTTTGACAGATCAACATCCGTTTTAGAAGCCGTGACATTGTGTCGGATCGGGGTAGTCTTTCGCCCTTTTACGTTAGCATGAGTGAATGCACTTGTTAAGGACAGTAGTGGTAGCCTTATTCCTCGGAGAAAAACCAGGCGACTTTACTTCTGCTACTGTCTCAATAAAGGCATGTTGCCGAAGTATCAACCCATTTCAATCTACATTCTCCTGGATTTCTCCGAGGAACAAGGCTATTACTCCTGTCTTATTTATCTGAAAAATATTCCTCGCAAATGCACTGAACAACTTTCGCAATGTACTTGTTTCTTGCAGTTTGGCCAAGTTCAGAGGAGCCATAGCATTCAAGCATGGCCACCAAACCCAAACTGAGGACTTTTTCACTTGCATCAAACTTTTTTTCAAGACTGACATTTTCGAATTTCGATACCGGTTTGGTGACAGTTTTTATTTTTAACTTTGGACACGCTTGCTTTCAAATTGTCGGCGTTACGTGCACAGTGCCGCGCCGTTTCCTCATCGGTACTAAATC